ACACGAGCATCATCCTCTTCCCAATAATATGTCCTCTACAATGAAAAAAAAAATTAAATGTTAATAATTTATTTGATTTTTCTTTAAAAAAGAGCAAAATTTTTCTTAAATTGTCATTTTTTTCACTATTATAAATAAAATATAAAAAATCATACAAAATATACCTTGTACTTCCATATCAAATACCATAAGAGTAAGGTGATAGCATCTAAATAAATTCTCAAAAAAATACTTCATTTTATTCTATAATTTTCATACCTGAAAATTCTCCCAAGCAACCCTCTTCTTTTCCTCAGGCCAGCTAGACCAGAAAAGCACTGGCTGATCATACAAGTACTTCCAAATTACTGTGGCAGTCCTCCCAAACCTCTCATGGCTGAATGTGCCTCAGCGATTAAGGCTAAACACCTTCCTTTGACTCGGGTCTGTAGGAGCGTTATCTCCTTTATCCATGCCACGTCCTGTCTTCGGGACAGCACGTGATAGCTCCTCCTCCAACTGAGCATCTAACTCAGGATCAAGCACAGCATACTCAGCCTCCAAATTACGCTTTTCAGTGTCCTCCTCCATTGTTGCATCATCACCAGTGAACTGGTCATCGGCCAATGGTGGCTGAGTAACAGTGGGCTGCTCCTGTTGCAGCTCTGTGGGAAACTGAGTCAAACTGGAAATCTGTTGCTGTGCGGGAGGCTGGCTCAAGCTAGGCAGTAGCTGCTGTGTAAAAACAGCCCTACGAGGCCCCCGAATAAGACGACGAAATGACCTCTGTGGTTCTCCCTCTGGATTAACCTGCTGTCTAGAAGAAGATGCACCTCGCATACCTCGTCTCATATCTGTATACAAAAAATAATGGAAACACATCAACTTCCTTTTCATGAAGAAAAGCCAAAATTTTAAAAAATTAAAAAAAACAGAATATAAAAATATTCAATTAATAACTATTAGATTAGATAAAAAAATATAGCAGTAAACAAACTTATTATATAAGTTCAGTAGTTTAATAAAATATGAAAAAAAATAATCATACATTTGATTAAATGAGAATTTAAAAAATGAGAAAAAAATAAAAAATATCAATATCAATACACAACTAAATATATATAA